TATATATATATATATATAATTGATTAGTAGTATTTCAAGCTACAACGAGCCAAACACGAACGAACAAATATTTGTTCGTGTTCGGCTAGTTAACTTAGCGAACGAGCCGAACACGAGTTGTTCGTGAACGATGAGCCATTTTGACAGCCCTAATTACAATTCGATGACAACAGGTAGAGAGTGGATTTATAAGAAAAAAAAAAAAAATTGTGTCATAAACATTAATTAATTTCCAAAAATAATTAAATGTTTAAATTAATTACATTCCAAACATTAAAGGTTGGTAGATGGTGCTCTCTTGCATGTGGGTGCTGCATGGTTATATTAGATGGAATAAGATTAGTCCAAAAGGAAAATGTTAATAAATTTGAGAAATGGGTTTCTCCGCTTTTTCCGGCGGAGCATAACGTGCAATTATGTCTAGTTTTGTCCGGCCAAAAAGTATGCACTTTAAAGCATATTTGGCAATTATGCGAAAGTTGGAAGAGTGGATGACAGCATTTTTTTTTTAGAACTATAGAAATAATGTAATTATGTATGAAAAAGTATGTTATTTTAATGAATAAGTGTGTTTTGAGTTTTATGTATGTAATTGTCATCTTTTGTTTTGAATTTGTATTAGGTTATGCATTATAAAAAGGAATGATAATATATTATAATTTTTTGGAAGATTTACATATTAATGGATAGTTTTTTGTTATGATGGTGACGTGTCTATCATAGATCTTGAGAGATTTCTATCTAAATGATCAGATGCGTCATTTATAGAATAATATGCTACTTTGAAAGGTATAGATATTTTCTCAAAATGGATTTGGATTTAAACATTCTCATGGGAAAAAAATATTAAGATTTAGGGTATGTGTTAATCAAAGAATTTTCTCCTACCTTATGAAAGTAAGATAGAGTTTATTGTATTTTGGGGTCTGATATCCTTATAAGAATAAACCCTCATAGTTAATTACATCACATGAATTGAGAAAACTATCAATTAAAGTATTGCTTATATCAATTTTGTTTTTAAATAAAAATATTCAAGAATTGAAGAGATTTTGGAATGAATGAGTTTCATGGTTTGAAAAGATTTTCTTAGAATTCAAAGGTTAGGACTTATGGTCTAATGATGATGTGTCATAAAAAAAAAAAAAACTAGACAAAGGGTTAACTAACTATGAGAAAGAGTACCCTGGGGTTTGGAAATGCAAATTTTTTGAAATAATTTGATTTGATTTGAGCTGAAAGGTTTAATTTGAGTGAAATGTTTTATTTAAGTTGAAATGTTTGATTTGAGTGGTAGGATTTTTTTTTTTAAGAATTTTACATTGAAGTTTTGATTTGTTGTTTGAAAGGATTCGAATTTTGGTTTGAGTGATTTGAAGTTTGTTTTAAAGTTGGTTCAAGAGATTTTTTAAAGTTTGATTGAAAGTTATTTGAAGGTTGACAATAAGGTTGATTTAAAGTTTGAAAAACATTTAAAGTTTGAAAAAAATTGATTTGGAGTTTAAAGAGTTTAAAGTTTGAAGAAGGTTTAAACTTTTGATGTTTTAAAAAAGTTTGAAGGTTTAAAAAGGTTTGAAGGCTTAGATATTGAAAATATTTCTAGGTTAAAAATGCTTCAACTTTGGGTTGAAGGTTGGTTTAAATTGAACTGAAAGATTTATTTTTGAGCTAAAAATTTTAATTAATAGGTCTAATTATAATCACTTGATTTTGAGTTTGATTTAAAAGTTTTGAGTTTTATACTAAAGGGACAAGATTGGCTGATTGCTTTTCTATATGGAAGTTAAGATCTTAACCCTAAGGTAAATTTTGACTCTATAAGAAAGCTAAATAGATTGACTAACCTAAATTTTAGGTATACACCCATGATCAAGATGCAAATGACTTTCCATTATCTCGAGTTTAATAGTAACCTTAGAAAATAACCAACCTGATAAAAAAATATCTTCACTGTTAACATAACAACAACAAATACAAATCTTCTTAACTATTTGGTGATTTGAGGTGCCTTCAACAGCGACCATGGTTTACTTCATTATAGGGCACCTACATAATTTAAGGGAATTACATGCTTGTTATTTTATATAACATAT